GCAGTAGCAGTAGCAGTAGCAGTAGCAGTAGCAGTAGCAGTAGCAGTAGCAGTAGCAGTAGCAGTAGCAGTAGCAGTAGCAGTAGCAGTAGCAATATTAGCATTACGCTCATCAAACATACAGAGGTTTGATAAATTTTACTGGTTCGCAACTTAGTATCAGTATAATCCTAGCACGGCTGATGACTTTATCTGTTATTTTATTCATGAAGGTGGTTCTTCCTTCTGGTACTCGTGTAAAAGCAGAGCGCAACTCATGGGGAATGAATGTGTATCTGACAGCACCTGGGTCTGATTCATCCAACACCGCTGGCCTGTGTGGTGATTTTAATGGTATCAAGGAGGACGACTTCCACAAAGGCGGAGACAAAAAAGTTCATGCAGATCCAGTATCATTTGCCAGGAGTTGGAAGTAAAGACATTAGTACACTAGATTACATAAATTCGTAATATAAACTGTGTGTTATAATAAGAAGCGAGGAGCCGTTAGTATCGAATACAAATAGTTGGTAGATTTGTGACCATTTTCTCCCCCAAACCATTAACAACCTTACCCAGCACTAATAAACCTTGAACGGTTTTCCTATAGACTGAGACCAGACCAAAGCTTCTTCGAGATATTACCGCCAAGGGAAGAAGTCGCTGAAGRAGGTAAATCATGTACCTGCCCCGCTGGAAGACACGAACATCACTTTACAGACTGTAAAGACAACGCAAATCGATTCAAAGGATTTGGACCAGAATCTGGAGAAGATATTGCAGATAGACTAAGAAAAGGTGGCCGAGTACGAAGATCTAGTGAAGATGAATTATATACTGATGAYATAATGGACTATGAAGACCGCAGCTTCTTCCAAGAAGACGAAGAGCTGCGATATGCCTTAAAGCGCATGCGCCGCAAAAGAAGCGCTCAGGGGATGTCGGAAGCAGATGCTAAGAGGCACTGTAAAGGTATCATAGAGAATTCCATAGCGGGAAAGATGTGCAAAACTGTGCCTGGATTTAACCTTACGATTGCAATGCAGCAGTGTATCACAGACTTAAAGGTAAGTAAATCTTTCCGCATTAAAATCCTTGTAAATGTCTAACGCGCTTCTTCATGGCTCGTTAAGGTCAAGAAACAGGCCCTGACAATTATTGCTTACGTTAATATCTGCTGTAATGCCCATGATACCTCTCGAACAGAAGATATAAGCACGGCTTAATGGAATTTATACATGCTACTAACGTAACATGCTCTCCAAACTTTCTTTCTAGATCTTGCTAGAACGCGATTAATTACTATCTGTATCTTAGTATCTGTAGCTCCCAAGCTCTAGCGTAAATTAATAAAAGCAATCAACATCAATTGCGAAAGTTACTTTCTCAAGACAATTAATTTTCGATCTGTTGGCATATTTTCCAAGATCACAGCCGATAAAACATTCGCAAGTTCAGCCTTTGATGCCATGAGGGAGGGATGTGAAGAGGTAGCCTTGAAGAACATATCACTCTTCTCGAGAGATCCACACAGCGGAGAGCTTAAGCCACCCGCTGAAATTGGAGAAAATCTGTGTCCAGGTGATTGCAATAACCATGGTGWCTGTACAAACAGAACGTGCATCTGTGAGGAAGGATATACTTCAGCTGATTGCTCTATGCCTGTTGATGCTGTCCCAGATTTGTTAGGGTACGGATTCACCAACATAACAAACCCAGAGCCTTGTCATTCTTACTGCGCATGGTCAGGTCGACAAAATGGCATTTTGACCATGCGCAATAAGAATGACTGGGCTCTGGGCTYGAGGATGCAAAATAAGATTAAAATCCTACTCGAAGTCTAAATGTCTCATAAACTGTGAACACATGACCAAGAGTATTCACAAGCTCTAACAGMAAAACTGTCGAGGAGCGGGAAGATACGTACATGAAAGTTAAACTTTCTTGTTCGTTATGTTTTTAGTATCTATGAAGGAGGCTTATGTGATATTCGCAAGAGACCATGYAAACAGACAGATATATTTGGACATGATTTCATCAACTCGGAAAACCTAACATGCCATGTTGAAGAGATAAAGGTAAAGTTGGGCGAGAAAAAACTTTTTTCTACTTTATATGTTATTCAGTATAGAAACTGGTCCATGGTAAAATGCATTTAGGTATTAGGTCACTTGAGGAACAAACTATGAAGAACATATGAATAGTCTCCTAGCCTCCCGGGCGTCTCATTTGGGCTCTTCGGGCTTCCTGTGTAGATGGAGGAAATATATTTCAATAAAGGAATCCCAATTACTTTCTTGAAAATAAAATTGGAGTATAACGTCAGTAGTGGATGTTTCTTTTTACTTATTTCTTATTTTTCTCTAGGTCATCGAAGGCAACTGGTCTATTAGACCATACCCTCAGAAATATCCTGGTAAAATGGTTGACATCTTTGGTGTGAGATGTAACCTTCCAGATCCTCCGACAAAACTTGGTGATTATGACCACGAGGGGACCCCTGCTGGGGGACTGTCTATATCGATATCAAATGATGGTGAAATGAGGAGCATTCGTCGTAAACGTTTTGTGTCATATGATTCACTTTGTATGGCATGTACCAATTCTTCCAGCTGTCAAAAGAAAGTAAGACGCTCAACTCGTAAAATTCAAATGGAATTTTTCCTTCTCTTTTGTTCGGTTTTCAGTAAAGACTACTTCATCGACGCATTCATCTAAATCCTTTTCATTCCCCTTTATTTAAGAATGAGTCCTGCCTCATCAATGGACATTGTTTTGCTGYCAACACATCCAATCCAAAGGACTGGTGCCTTCAATGTTTACCAGCAGACAGTATGTCATCATGGACACCTAGGAAAGGTATGGCAAAAACAAAATCGAGATTCGAGACGCCGGTAGTGAAACTAAACTCCTCTTTTTTTACTTATCACAAGACTTGTTCGAAAAAAGACATATCAAACGGTTAGTGACTCCAGGGACCGCGGAAAGGGAATGCACTACCACTTTTTTTCGTAAACTAATACGATATACACCTTACTTGACTTACAAGTAACCACTTACAAGTCACCACAGGGACTTGATYTTCACTACTTTGAAGTAAGGATTATATTTCACGGGTAATGAAGCCATAGGAACCGTGGAGAGTGAGGGCAGGGGATGCTATACTCTGCCCCTCTATTCCTTAAATACGATATGCAGCATGCTTGACTATGAAGAGGCAGCAGCCTCGAAACATCTGGAATACAAATTAATCTAATGCTGTATGTCGTAATTCCTCATTTCAAGTCTACATTTACTAAATTGCGCAACACGTGCAGTTCTTGKGTACATGGTATGTTCATCTCTTTGATTACAAATCACCAGCCACATGTACAGTGACTAAACCTTACTTGTTTTARCCCTTATAACATGAAGTAGTTGGTTTGTACTTGGCAAGTCTTGATTGGGGTTGCGTTTCATAATTTCATTCAAAATCCACTGTTTCTCAAAAGAGAACACAAAATGAAAAAGTTGAGTTACAAAAACACACACAAATAAAATTTGCGAGGTTATTCGGGTAGTGGTGTTTACCGCGTACGAGGTAATACCTGTCTATTCTTTTAAAATAACGATTTATTTTACTACTAGTAGTTTTTGTTTTCGCTATTTCAGTTAACCAGCCACCMAAATTCGCTGACAAACAGTCTACTCGATGGGCCATCAATGGAGAGTACCTTCCATTRCAGTTGAAGGCAACAGACCCTGATTATCGTCCTGTTACATATTCTCTAATAAGTTCCACTGCTTCTGGTTATACATTCAGTCCTACTGGTCTGTTGACATGGAACGTGTCGTCACAAACTAACCAACAGTTTGTATTCAAAGTCACTGACGAGTGTAACGCTACTGACACCATAACCATCAATATAGCTATTGTTACTTGTCCTTGTCAAAATGGTGGCAGATGTGTGCCTAACCCTAGCCAGCCACGGGGCTCTGGTCATTACACCTGTAATTGCGCAATGGATTTTACAGGTCCACAATGTGAAAACAATATTGACGATTGTCTTACAGCTCAGTGCGTCAATGGTAAGAAAACGACTTAGTTGGTCTCTTCTTTGAGCCAATCAAGTCTTTTAATTCAACAGCTTATTCGTATGTTAAACCTTAAACTGTTCTCTGACCTAAAATAATTTATAAGACGATGCTAAAACGAAAATACGAAGGGAGCAACGCTCGTTTCGAATTCTTAGAGAATACGAGTTATTTCTGTGCTCGCTGTCAGCTCACTAAACAACCGATATTCTGTGAAAAGCCGAATTAAATACTTTTGGTATTACCTGACGTAGTGCAGGTTAATTTTTGGATGCTTTAGCTTTTTCCCATTTTTCAAATTAAAAATTGATGTTTCTAGGTACCTGTGTGGACGGGGTGAATRATTATACATGTCGCTGTGATGTTGGTTTTACGGGTTCCCAGTGTGATCAGCGACTGACTCGCTGCACCAATCAGACGTGTTTCCCTGGTGTCACGTGTACAGARATTTCTGGTGGAGTATCMTGTGGACCTTGTCCTGTGGGATTCTCTGGGGATGGGAAAACATGCCTAGGTAAGCTGATAGCCTTCGTAAATATTGTGCTTGCTATTATCATACATTATCAAATATTGTGCACCTTTTCATTTAAGCGAGACATAATAGACGGTATTCGTTGTTGTACAATGTTTTTCCCATTACAGACAAGTGTCATTCCCTAGAGAACAATATTGGTAGTATCTCATGCGCAAACGTCTAACAAAAGGAATGTTACTTGGTAATGACACGAGGTCTGCAATTCGTAATAAAGCGACACTCGGGTCCATATTATATCTTGTCAGCTGTACCAACGACCAGCACACCGTCTACGACGACTGCTACTCTAACGATGGTGGCAACTACTTCAACTCCCCCAATAACTACAACTGCACCACCGACGACTACCTCTCCATCAACAACTAGTAGTTCCCCCCCAACCACTACCGAGCTGCGTAAGTATATATAAGGAAGATATTGCATGCAAGTAACGTATGTTTAACTGAACTCAACACTTTTACTCTGTACGTATTTCCACAGCTACAACGACGCARGAAAAAACGTCTACCACTTACAGTCCAACCACCACTGAACAAGGTTTATAAAGAATTAAGAAATTTAGCCCAATTTTTAGGAAACACGGTTGTCGAGCCAGTGTATTTCTAACAAAGTGTTAAACGGTAGATGCACGAGATCCCCAAGTTGAATTTGTAATGATGAAAAGGTAAATTATACACCGTGAAAAGATGAAAAAACTTAAGCCGCATTTCTTTGGTCTTGCGACAATCATTGTTGAAGAGCACGAAGGCCCTAAGGGTCCCCATAGTTAACCGCAACTTTTCTCTGCTTGACTCTGATACTCGCACTTCTGCTATTTTCAACAACCGCCCTCTCTTTTCCTATAAACGTGATCGTAATCTCCGTTCTTTCTTGGTCAAGGGAGTTCTTCCCTCTAACAAAGAACCTGGTACTTTTCGCTGTTCTCGTAAACGTTGTTATACTTGTCCTCACATAGCCTCTCACACTTCTGTTGTCGGTCCTAAATCTACTGCTAAAATCACTGACCATTTTGTTTGTACCACTTCTAATGTTGTATATTGTATTAAATGTACCCGCTGTAATCTTTTGTATGTGGGCGAGACTGGCCGCCGTCTTGGTGATCGCATTTGCAATCA